CACACACACACAAATAGCCAAACAAACAGTAGTTTCCAACCTGGGTTTTGCAAACCCTCAGAGCTTCTGTAACTGTTTAATGTCAATTTCATTTTGCTAAAAATACAGCCACTTTGGGAAGGAGGGAGATGCTGAGAAGGTCACTTCTTTTCCACTTAGAGCAGATTCACTTGGATCTCTTCTAGAAGTCAGAGTTCTTTGAAGATTGAAAAAAACTCCCCTGCTAAACTACAAGTTTGAAACCATTATCTCATACCACCTTGCTTCTCCTCCTCCATTTTAGTATGGCTATGAAGAGAGCTGGGTCTATCCCTTGTCAGTAACTGGCTGGGTTATCCTGGGCAAATCCCTTAATTTCTCTGCTCTCAGCTCCCCATTCCATGAAACATGGGGTTAAGAAAGATAATGCTTACGGTTGGTGTTTTCATGTCAACTTCAGTTCCAGAAATCAACAAAACTCATAGAGAGGCATTGTTTTCAATAGCTCGATAAATGAAAACTTTCTCACCATTTAATTCCAGTAATCATTTGGCTACAATAACCTGGGACATAATATATACACAAAGGAATGTGCTGAATACTGAATGAGTGATCTAATAGTTGCGTAAAATGGTGAGAGGCTGTTACACCAACTGAGCCCTGGTGGGGCCATGCTTTGCTGCAGTGTGTCGTGCTAGGCTATGACGGCTGTTTTCTACTAGCTGAGGGCCTGGGAAGGTGACAAAAACTCGACTCAGTACAGCTGATTAGGAGGACTTGTAGTAGTAGTCCTACTATTTGATTAGTAGGAGTCTGGAGGCCTTGCGCTTCTCATTTACGAGGAAACTGTGAATTCAATTAATCAACCAATCCTACCATTTATTTTATTTTATTTAAATTTTTAATGTTTACTTGTTTTTGAGAGAGAGAGAGAGAGAGCAAGCACAAGCGGGGGAGGGGCAGAGAGACAGAGAGTCAACAGAATCTGAAGCAGGCTCCAGGCTCCGCCCTGTCAGCACAGAGCCCAACGTGGGGCTCGAACCCACAGACCGCGAGATCTAGCCCGTACTTATTTTCAACCTTGTGCCTGGCAGAAGCCTTTTCATAAATAACCAATGACAGAATGCTCTAATGCTCAGAGACCATGTCTTCATTTACTTTGGTCATCAACACCAGGGCAAAGCAAGCACTCAGCAATCCTTTGTTCTATGTCACATTCATTTACTGAAGGGATGGCTCTTCTCTCTAGGTTTGAGACAAAACTGTATTTGAAGCTCCTCCACTCTGCCAGCTGGGTGACATTGGGCCTGGATTTCCTTGAAATTCTTGAAAATGCTTCCCTTGAAAAGCTAATGCTTATTTCACAGGATTGCTCTAGGATGCATGAAGGGCTCCCCACAATGTCGGAGAGTGTTCTCATAGTATCCCCATTAGCACCGGGGGAAGGTTCAGGGAAGAAGTCTAAATGAGAAGAAAGTGATTCCTCAACTAGGAAAAAAACAAAAACAAAAAACCCATAAGTTTTTTGAAACCCTTTGTTTCATAAAGTCACAAACAACTCTGCACTACTTTGTAGTATTTGTTTCTTACCCAACTTTCCAGTAAAATGTTGATGGAGAAAGGGGCATGGTGGTGATGGCGAGTCAACTTTGTTGATTTGTCCTGTTGCAGATCTGTTCTAGCAACGACTGGACAGCCACTTGCCACTTGGAGTTGTCCCACTACACATTAACTAATATTTATAAAGAAAAGGGAGGGAGGGAGAGGGGGGTGGGTGATGGGCATTGAGGAGGGCACCTGTTGAGATGAGCACTGGGTGTTGTATGGAAACCAATTTGGCAATACATTTCATATAAAAAAAAAGGTAGCAGGTCCCCACAAGGATTAGGCAATTATTGAGAACCTATCCATTAATGCATCAAACTGAAACCCTTCAGCGGCAAGTTTTAGCGTCAAGACTTGAACCCTAAACACAGCCTTGCAAGGATCTGGCCTTTGGCTGCCATTTTTGCCTCATTCCACCCTAATCTCCCTGTTACCTGAGCTTCCACTATATTAGTTTTGAGTTTCAGCTCCAGGACCTTTGCACATGTGCTTCTTCGCCTGGACGACCCCCTCAGTTAACTAGATCTACCTTTATAGCTTCAGTCAAGGTCACTTGTTCAGTGACTTCCCTGACCTCCAGTCTAAGTCCTAGAACCTTCCTTCAGTCATTCGCAGTAGGGTTTCACTTTGCAGTGGTACACTCAATTGTGTGGTTATTTTGCTTAATGTTTGTCTCTGCCCATAATCCATGCTCTCTGAGAGCAGAATGAATGCGCGACTGGGTTACCAGGTGTATACGCAGGGACACAATGGTTCCTGGCATGTGGTAGATATTCAGTCAATATCTGTTGAATAAATGATTAAGCGAAAGGTTTCCAGGACTAGTGTAGAGATCTGAGTATCCAAGTGAGGAGACCAAATCCCTGTTCCCTTCTCCCCGCCCCCCCCTTTCCTCGGGGCTTATGGGGGTGTTGGAGGGGATACAGACCAGTAAACACAAGAGTACCCTGCGACCAGAGAAGCTACGTCCCGCACCTTCTTCCACCTGGTGGGCGATCCTTTGAACCAACACTTCCCCAGCCTCAGAGAGTTCGGAGGAAGGGGTGGGTTTAAGGGCGGATGCTGAAGGTGATCGATCAGCCGAACAATAGATCCCGGTGGAGATCCCAGGTCCTCCGCAAGGCTGCCGGAGCCCACGCTGCCGAGCTCCGACGGGCGGCCAGCTGACCCCTCTGGCCACCCCTAGTGCCCAAAGCGGCGCGCTCTCCCCAGCGCCGCGGCGCGCCAGCCAATGCGCCCCGGGCGCGCCAGCTGCACTGGGGCCCGGGCGCGCGCGATTGGCAGCCCCCAGCCTCAGCCCTCGCGCCCCACCCCCGGACGAAGTTCTGCCCACGCCTGCTCCGCGGCCGCCGCCCGTCCCCCTCTTTCCGCCCCCGGGGGTGTCCGGCGCGGGGCCCGGATCCGGCCGCACGCTCCTCCCACGCGCCGCGGAGCCACCAGGTTCGAAGCGCCCGCGGTCGGCGCAGTCCCCTCCCGCGCGGGACCATGAAGGTCGAGTTTGCGCCGCTGAACATCCCGCTGGCGCGGCGGCTGCAGACGGCCGCGGTGCTGCAGTGGGTCCTGTCCTTCCTCCTGCTCGGTAAGGACCCCGCGCGCCCCCGGCCGCGCGAGACCCAGGCCAGACGCCGCAGTGCGGGGGGCTCCGTTTCCTCCCTCGCGGCCAGTCCTTGGCCAAGGACGAGCTGAGATTCCAGCCCTTCTTCCGCCTGAGCCAGAGCAAACAGGTCAAGGAGGGAGTTCGAGCTAACTTGGGACTCTCCTTTTTGGTTTCTCTCCCCGTGTGAACCTCGTAGCGAACGAACGACTATTTGCCAACTGTTTTAACCTGTGCTTTTTTGTCTTTTTGATTGAGGCGTAGCTTACCTACCATAAAAGGCAAAGATGATAGGCATACAGATGAATTTTGGCAAATGGACATACCCAAATATAACCAGGACCCAATCCAGCCATGGAACATTGCACTGTAGCCCCTCAGAAGTTGCTAAACTCTTTTCTTGAACTGTCGATTCGTAAAAGGAAAACCAGCGCCCGATTATTTACAGCCTGATTCCTTCCTCTTCCCACCCTCGTGACCAACTGCCTTGTTGACTTTTCTGTGTTTAAGGTCATCCGGGTGCAGAAAGGCACCTTTCTACTAGATAGAACGGGTTGAGTTGGGTTGGGTGGCTTCTGTATGTAAATAACTCGACCCAAGGGGTTCTAGTGGGTTCCCAAGTTGATCCCATCTGGAAAGGGCACGTGAGGCAGTTGCTAGATAGAGCAGGGTGGCTTACCTGAGCCCCTTTTTCTCCCCTGGATGTTTGTCCAGCGATTGGAGTAGATGGGGGATGGTATGAGAGGAGGGAGGAATTATGGAGAACGTGCACTCTTCTGAAGGCTAACGTCACTTGTGTGCTGTAAGGAGCTGACAGGTTGTACGTTGAGGCCGCAGTACGATCAGTAATAATAAGCCCACTGCACTGGAGACGTCTACACTTTTGAAATGGTTTCACAGTTTTGAATGCCTAGATCAGTGGTTCTCGACCCTGGCTGCACATGAGAAACACTGGAAGAGCTTGTAAAAAAAACCGCAGACGCCCAGGCTCTATCCCCAGAACGTCTTAATTCATTTGTTACAGAACGGAGCCCACGCGTCAGTATGTGTGTGTCTCTGTAAATATGTAACTGTGTGTGCGCATATACGCACACAGATGCTCCACGTGACTCTGCTGTACAGCTAGGGTTTCCTGAAAAAGGAACTTCAAAACATTAGCTCATGAAGTCCTCGCAGGCCAAACGGAGACAGGGGTGGTAGCATGATACTCCGTTTTGCGCTGAACCATCGAGGTAACAACAAACACATTAGGGCATAGTACGTTCCAGATCCTATTCTAAGCACCCTACACTATTAACCATTCGGCCTTCACCACGACCCTGTGAGGTAAAGGACTGTTCATTTCTGCCCTCATTGGACAGATGAGGAAACGAAGAGGTGAAGTAAATTGTTCAAGGTCACGCACAGTGGGAGGTGGAGAAGCTGGATGGAAACCTAAGTGTTCTACCCAGAGTCCCTGCCTTAACCACTGTGCTGCCCACATGTATGGCTTGAACTTGGAGACGATCTTCCCTGCTGGTCAATCAGCTCCTCTCTGGTAGCCCGTTGTCCTTTTCTCGTGTTTGTCATTGCTCGTGTTTGTGTATGTCTGCGGTTACTCGAGAAAGGTCCGCATTGCCATCCTTGTCCACCGGCTCAGCGCGGGAGCACTCAGCACGTGCCGAGCCCACGGAAGGTATGAAACAAATACTTGTTGAGTGACTGTCTCACTCTGTCACCCAGAGGGGAAGCTATCCGCCCCATGGGTCGCTAGTTGTATTAACCCATGTCATCCTCGCAGCAGCCCTGCGAGGTAGGAGCTACCCCTGCACTCATCTTACAGAGGAGGGAGCTCAGAGGTGAAGTTGCTCAAGGTCACATGGCTCTACATAGCGGGCAGAGCCACAGGTGTTAAATGTGCGTGGACTAGTGACTTAGGCATGACCAATGATTCCTAATTTGAGTCGGACTAGACTGACTTGCAGACCATTTAAATGTCTGCATAGACAGACCATAAAAAGTCATTGCATGCATTTGACTTTTGTGTTACTAGGAGCATATGACTTTGTGTTACATATTTTGATAATTTTATTTGGAAAAATTTCAAACATACAAAAAATAGAAGTGTGTGAACTCTCATTTACCCATTACCTGGATTTATAATTATTTTGACAATATGCTGTATTCGTTTCATCAGTTGTTTTGCAAAAATGTTTTAAGACAAAGCACGTTGTTATATTTTAATCCTGAATATTTTAGTACGGAGATATAGAATTAAGTATCTTTTTTACATAATCAGAGTACATATGCGGCATAATTGTTTAAAACCATTTAAAAATTTTTTCAGTTTATTTATTTATTTTGAGAGAGACAGAAACAGGATGAGTAGGGGAGGGGCAGAGAGAGAGGGAGAGAGAGAGAACCCTGAGCAGGCTCCACACTGCCAGTGCAGAGCCCGATGAGGGGCTTGAACTCATGAACCGTGAGATCATGACCTGAGGCGAAACTGAGAGATGCTTAACCGACTGAGTCACCCAGGCAATCCTGCTTAAAATCATTTAAACTAAGTTCATATTTTCTGAACTGTGTCAAAAATACACTTTGGAGATATATCTGAACAAGGTTCTCAACAAGACCTTTGTATTGCATTTGGTTTTGTTTTTTGTTTTTTTTTTTGTTTTTTTTTTCTTTAATGTTTATTTATTTTTGAGAGAGAGAGAGAGAGAGTGTGAGCAGGGGAGGGTCAGACAGAGGGAGACACAGACCGCAAAGAGGGCTCCAGGCTCCGATCTGTCAGCACAGAGCCTGATGCGGGGCCTGAACCCACGAACTGCAAGACCGTGACCTGAGCGGAAGTTGGATGCTTAACTGGCTGAGCCACCCAGATGCTCCTGCATTTGGTTTTTACATGTCTTTTAATTTAGAACAGTGTTCCCTATTTGTTTTCTTGTCGTGAAGCACTAAGGAAACCAGGTTATCTGTCCTGCAAGATGTAGCCCTGACTGCTTCTTTGTGGTGGTAACTTGTTCCTCAGTCTCCTATATTTCTTCGATAGTGAGAGTTAGAGCTAAAGCTTGATTAGATGTAGATGAAATCTTTGTGTCAAGGCCTCTTCCCAGGTACTGCTCTGTGCTTCACATTCTGTCAGGATGCACAGAATGTCTAGTTGTCCCATTAGTTGTGTCTAAGAGTGGTCAGTGGGTCCAAATAGGAAGTCATCTGAGGGCTGGCCGGTCATTGACATGTGCAAATGAAAGTTCTCTGTTGATCATTGCCCTGCCACCTAGTGACATAAGTCTCCATTAATGATGCTCGCTTGAATGAACTCTTCTATGGGGGACTGCAAAGTGGCGGTGTTTTTATTCTGTCATTTATTCATCATAGCTAGAATTCACGCAACGAATAATTTCCCCCCATCAGCTAGGGCCGTTTGACTACCCTACAATTCAATTCTTACTGGAAAAGGTAGGATAAGAGCTTACTTATTTCCTTCCATTTAATTGTCAATTTTGAAGTAAGGAGTTGATGTTGTAGCTACTTTCAGTGTTGGCAAGAGTTTTTTTTTTTTTTTTAACGTTTTATTTAACGTTAAAGCGTTAGTGGGGGAGGAACAGAGAGAGAGGGAGACACAGAATCTGAAGCAGACTCCAGGCTCTGAGCTGTTAGCACAAAGCCCGACGCGGGGCTTGAACCTATGGACCAGATCATGACCTGAGCTGAAGATGGATGCTTAACCGACTGAATCACCCAGGCACCCCAACAAGAGGGTTTTTATTAGGTATATCTTTTAAGATCTCTAAATCAAAGTCTTGGAAGGCATTTTTCTTTCCAGGAAATGAGTTTAAGCTATTAGCCCTTGAAAAATGAAATCATGAAATCATGAAATCAAACATCTTTCCTTGAGATAAATGTTAAACACCTGTCATCCAATCTTACAACATTGTATTAGGTTTTGGTGTATGACATAATGATTTGATACATGTATACATTGCAAAATGATTACCATAATAAGTTTAGTTAACATCTATCACCACCCATAGTTACAAATAATTTTCCTTGTGATGAGAACCTTTAAGACTTACCCTCTTAGCAACTTTCAAATACAACACAATATTGTTGATTCTAGTCACCAGGCTGTGCATTACATCCCCCGGATTTATTTATCTTCTAACTGGAAATTTGTATCTTTTGACCCCCTTTGCTCATTTTGCCCACCCCTCCACCCTCCTGCCTCTGGCAACCGCCAGTCTGTTCTCTGTACCTATGAATTAGGTGCTTTTGGTTTGTTTTCTTTTTAAGATACACACACAAGTGAGATCATATAGTATTGATCTTTCTGTCACCTAGTCCACATAGCATAATACCCTCAAGGTCCATCACAATGGCAGTATTTCCTCCTTCTTTTTTTAATTTTTAAAGTTTACTTATTTATTTTGAGAGAGAGAGGGAGAGAGTGAGCAGAGGAGGGACAGAGGAGCGACCGAGGGGGGACAGTGGATCTGAAGTGGGCTCCATGACAACAGCAGAGAGAACCTGATGTGGGGCTTGAACTCATGAACTGTGAGATCATGACCTGAGCCGAAGTCGGACACTTAACTGACTGAGCTACCTAGGCGCCCCTCATTTGTCTATCTTCATGCCAGTACAATGCTGTTGTGATTACTGTGGCTTTATAATACTTTGTGGAGTCTGATCTCGTTAGCCCTGAAACCTTGGTCCTTTTTTTAAAGAGTTGTTTTGATTATCATAGATTCTTTGTGTTTCCATATGCACCTGAGAATCAGCTTGTCAGTTTCCACACACACACACACACACACACACACACACACACACACACACACCTTCTGGGATTTTCATTGGGATTGATTTTTGATTGAGATTAGTCTATAGGTTAATTTGGAGAGAATTGATATC